ATTGAAGGACGGATCGGGTGGAGAGAGAGAGAGAGAGAGAGAGAGAGAGAGAGAGAGAGAGAGAGAGAGAGAGAGAGAGAGAGAGATTAACATTTCTTGAACTTTGGTTACCTATAATCTATTCTGATTACACATTGACATATACTGTATAACTGCATTTGTGTGTCAGCTTTGTCATTTAAAGATGCAACTGTCCTGCAGTGTGCTGTAATATTACTGCAGATACAGTCWCTGAAAACTGCACTTTATTATGAAAACTTAAAATATGTCAACATATTTCTAGTGTTTACTTAMCGCTTTACTGTTAAAGGTTCAAAAGCTGCTGATAAAGATCTATACTCAGCACCTCTGAGCAATTTAATTATCCAAACCTCTTAAAATGATTTTTGAGTAACAAAACATGCTCAATATGTACAATTTTGTATTATTTTCTTCATTTTTTCCCCTTCCTTGTTTTACAGATGATCAAATAGTCTATTTCAATAAAACTGTAATGTAATTATACCTTTTAAATGTATCAGGGCTRTCTTCATTATTTGTTTGTAATTTCGTTAGACCCAAAAGACTTTCTTAAACCTGTAAAACTGGTGTTATTGTGTTGCGTTCAAGTAACAGAAATAACAATGGGAATTATAACTTTTGCTACATTCTAATCTCTGAAATCATATTGTGAGTTGTAACTAAAAYGAAGTTTAACGTAAACGTAAATATTGTGTTGTTAATCAAAGTATTACTCTGTTTTAAATTTCTCAACGCCGGTAATTTGTTTTCATGACTGCACGTGAATGTCCTGTTGTTGAGTGAAAGCGTATTTTCCGAGCAGCRCTTGAAGGTGTCGTTTGGCAGGCTCGAGGGAAGAAAGTCGAAGCGGACCGATCCGCTGTCGCCTCGCAGAAGCGGGCTGTGGGGCGGACCGGAGGCGTGGCGGTCAGTGTGGGATATTATGAGAACCGAGAGGCTGCAGAAGACAGAAAACAAACCGTTTTGAGCTGACTTGAACTTCTCCGCCCCTTGCGGAGCAGCTGGTAATAAGTGATAAACTATGTCCTCGCGCTACGAACTTGTCTGTTTTATGTTCTTCTTCTCTCGTTTTTATTCTGTAGCTAATTCTCCCCCTTTTTTTGGTTTCCAGATAACGGTTCAGTGTGTGTGCGGGATTCAGCGGGGCCAGAATGTCCCGAGAGGAGGTGAACGGGGTGTCGTGCAGGGGRAAGGTGCTGACCCTGGACACCATGAACCCGAACGTGAGGCGGGTGGAGTACGCGGTGCGGGGCCCCATCGTCCAGCGGGCGGTGCAGATAGAGAAGGAGCTCAGAGAGGTAACGGCTGGGGATGTGGGGGGCCGCAGGAAATACACAAGTTTCTTTAACAGAGGGGGAGAAGAAAGAGAGAAAGAAAGAAACAAGGAAAGAGAGAAAGAAAGAGAGAGAGAGAAAGAGAGAGAGAGAAAGAGAGAGAGAGAAAGAGAGAGAGAGAAAGAGAGAGAGAGAA